CGCTCGTTTGGAGCGCTGGACTAGTGATGGGATTGGATCAAATTTAATCCAATCAGTCAATAACCCACGTTTGGTGCTGCTTATGAAAAGTATAAAATGTATCGTGCGTTTTGTCTTGTCCAATCCTAAATGCATAAAAAATATCCCATGTAACCCATGGGTTACAGTGGAATTGGATTAAAGTTTTTCCAGACAATAGTTAAAATCTCTCTTGTGCCCTTTCTCTTTCCCTCATCGCAGTCGTCAATTGCCCCTCCATCTCTCCTGACTTCCCCTGCTCACCATAGCCCGCGCCACTTGGTCGATCCTTTGATAAGTCTCAGGTCTACTTTTTCTATAAAATTCAGATCTATTCATTTTTTCCTCACATGTAGCAATCCTATGATTCCTCTGTATTTTCTTCTCCAATCGTGAGCTACTTATTCCAGTAAGCTTGTAATCTTTATCTTTGTTCTTGGGTATTTCGTTTGTGCCAATTCTGTAGAAAAAATAAAGGAATAGCACACTTTTGAGTTGGGCAATCATTCATGTTTCTGTGTGTATTTAGGAGAAGAATACCGGTATGAAACTATAAGTATGGAACTGAACCCACTAATCGTGTTGAGTCAAAGGTTGATACATCCGGTAACCTGCCTTCTCTCAATCTTTCAAACAACATTGGATGTGCTATCCCTCGCAAGAGTATTCTGAGTAAGAAATTAAGATACCAAGGGAATAACTTCGAGTCCCATTAACATGTGATAACCAACATATAGGACGGGTCCATCGGATGGAATCCCAGCAAGACCCTTCACCACCTTCCCATCCTCGGTAGTTGAGAGCGCCACGGAGCTAAGAGCAGCGTATAACCATTTATCTAAGAAAAAAGTCAGTCGAGAAATCCAGAATCAAGACTTATATGTGATGGCATCGCACTTCAATTAAACATATATAAAATTCCTATGATGAGCACAATGAGTGTCACGTTTCACTGTCATCAATATTCCACTAATTAATCTTTGACCTAATATGCTCTTCTTCTTGACACAACAGTAAGCTCTCGTTATCCTGTGCCCTACTCATGACAGAATACAACTGGTATGGATCTCTAGCCTTTTGGTTCATGATTGACATATGCTCTGTCCAAAGATGCTTACCTATTTGATTCATATAAGTTCTTGAATTCAGCTGGTGTAGGTGGCATGCAATCTAACACACAGTCATGGTATTTTCCACGAGGATAGAAGCTAGTTCCCTTGATGACTGTTACCAAATTAATACCATCTTCGCCAAAACAACTATTTTATAACATCACATAACCTTATAATCTAAGATGACAACTAGAGTAAAAATTAGGACATAAAAGGGGAAAAGGTGAAACTTCAAATGCTCAAAAGAACACCTTCCTCCTCTCAAGACCTACTTTTTGAGAGAGACATTCCAGGAAGAGAAAATGGTGGCTTTCATCAAACTTAGACGAATCTCACAGTTTGGGAGTACATGGCGTAGTCTTTCACCTTCCTCTTCACTTGGAAACAATTGATCTCTTCCATTAGAAAACAAATGGTTAATTCGACCAAAGATGATTATGAGGATCATAAACTTCAAATTTGGACTGGTCAACTTTGTTGCAGTGCTGCCCTAAACAGATGGCATTATAAGTTACATTACATTCGTCTGAATGACAAGATGGTCTTCAACATTTTTTGTGACTGTGCACATATTTAGGACAGTGATGAAAAAAACCGTAAGCAAACATCTTTTCTCTCATTGTAACAATAGAGAAGTAGGCATTATGCATTTAGGTTATGAAGAAATATTTTTCAATCTTTCTTCGTTTATAATCTTTGATTCAGCCATTTTCAGTTGACTGCTTCTTTCAATAATTTTGTTTTCCTAACTTCATTTTTGTGTTTGGTGCATTAGCTGCTAAAGAGGAGAACCACAAGTTTAGATAAAGCCAATTAATATTGATCAATAGCTCTTCAAAACTGCAAGCAAAATCATCAAGTTACCTGCAAAGTAATAGCACTTCAGCCTTTGTAGCATGGAGACGTGAATTGGCATATGCAGAAGCAGATTTCAGTATTTGTAGCTTCCATTTGAGCAATTCTTTGAGTAAGATTTCAACCAGAACCTGTGACTTAAAATTATCATTTATCTTTCCACAATTTGTAGCATGTAAATGAAAATTAGAAATTCTTCTTAATATGAACCAAAGAAAGATGTATAATGCACTCTACAACCATCTTACAGAGAGGTAAGATGATGCAGCAAAAATATCCTGTGACAGCTTTCCAACGACAGATTGTCCCAGAGGAATGCCCTTCACTACATTATCCATCAGCATCCTCAAATGGTCACCTAAAGAAATGATTGACAACTATAAAAGTTAGAGACTGCAATTAATACGACAATCCAGACAGCATAGCCGCCTACGTTTAAGACATATTTCTCTTAAGATGTAAATAACAGCCAAGAAAACGAAAGTTGAAGACCAAGGCAGCAAACCTGTGGTTAAGGTTAACATGGAATTTCTTGCCAAAAGAAAGAATTCATCAGGAATGCTTTGTAGTAAAGGTAGAAGGGGTTTCAATTGCGACTTGCCAAAAGAAGTAGCTGTGAATACAAATATTCAAGCCATGAATTACATATGAATATGGTCAAAAGGACTAAAGACTAAAAGCAACCAACTGAATGTCATCTATAATGACAGCCATTTTTGGCTTGGTACGAAGGCAAGTAAAGCATTTTCGCAAAGAGGGATCTACATCTACTGAAGGGGGAACAGTTTTGGTACACCAATTATGTGGCAACTGATTCCATTTAGCTTTTAGGAAGGAAATTATAATAGCCACTTGTGAATATTGCAAAGATATAATTACGATGTCAAGGAATGATGCTTATAAAGAATTACAATAAATTTAGTCCTTACCTGGGTTAGACAAGATAAGTAGGAGATCAATATCAGGGTTACGGTTTGAAACAGCTAAGGCAAGGCATCCTCCAAGGGATTCCCCAACAAGATATATTGGTCTATTTGGCGACCTGGGGTATTCTGACCTAATTGTACTTTCAACAAGCTGCACAAGGCCTGAATCCCATAAGAAACACAGAAAATTAAAACCAAAATTTGTATTAACAAACATGTTAATGTACATGTACGTAGTCACAACTACTCATCATTGGATACCTGTAAAAGATGTCCTGTCCTTGACTGGAATATGCAAGCACCAAATGTCAAAGATCCTTCGTTTCATTTAGGGAAAACATTAGTAAGCACAAAACTAGCTGATCAACAAGTGTGAAGTCCAAATTAAAACAAAAATCCTAATCCTAAATTAAAACTAATTTAAGAAAGCAAATACATCTACCAGTAGATGAATTCATGAGCTAAAATTATACCTAGTAATATTTTGAACACATATTCTTTATTTTCACTTATATGATAATAAATATATTACATTAATTTTCTAATATTATTATTATATTATTTAACAATACTACAATATTTAAATATGAAATTCACTTTTTTATAATCATTAAATATTAAATCTTTTGATATCTCACATACAATATAATTAATTATGCGTATAGAAAATAATTATAACTAAATAATAAA